TGACTTTATAAACAAGAATATATTTATATTTTTATATGTAAAACAATAGTGAATCACAAACAAATTTAAAAACTGTACATTGTGTACTAAAGAGTGTAGTTTATAACCTATTTAACACGGCTTTTAAACCATTAATACAGAACATGTCAGAAGAAGACGACAATGAACATTACTCAAAAGAGTTTGACAAGCTTGACACTGACCAAGATGGCTATATTAATTACGAAGAGTTGTCTAATTTCTATCCAGATGGCGATGAAAGTCAATACTTAGAAAATACATATTTCCCAATTCTTGCAGTAGATGGAAAAATCGACAAAAATGACTTTGTATTTTTGATGGAAACCATTAAATACGCCGATGAAGATGACGAATCTGAAAAATACAAATTTGCTTATATATTAATTGAAGGCTATAATGGTAGTATTCCCAAAGACGATAAAATATTAATCGAATTTATCAAATCAGATAAAAATGTTGATGATGATGGGGCTAAAGCAATAGCCGAAAAAATGGTTGTAGAAGATGACACAGACATCATTGATAATTCTGAATTTATCAAAATTATGCGCCATACATAAGCAATTTTAATTGATGATGCAATTTAAATTTGTTTTTTATAAATATTTCATTTAATAAAAACGTATTTTTATTGATTAAGTTTGTTATACTATATTTTATTTCAATTAACATGTTTTTGTAATCGTATTTGTAACACCAAATTTTTAAAAGTTGTTTTAAACATAATGTTTGTTTTTTTTATTTTACCTATTATTTTATCATTTATTTAAAAAAATATTAAGATTAATAAACTTAATTCTTTAATAAAGAAATAAATTACATAATGAATTATTATAAATTTAAATGATTAATTGTTTTTAAAAAATAATTTTTGATGTGTATTTTTATTGTTAATCGTGTTGAGAACATTGTTTTAAAAAGTGTAAAAACAAACACATTCTATTTAAATTAGAAAGATTATAAAATTTTAATTATTTCAATATTAAACACACAATGAAATAATAAAACTTTTTATCTTTACTAACAAAATATTAACAATATATGAATTATAATTTAATTTGTGCAATTATATACATATTCTAATATATAACACATATTTAAAAATAATATTAATTATGATTTTTTATACTACACAACGTGCAATTCATTTTAAAAATATATAAATACGTACTTGCTATTTCAATAAAATCAAATGAATAACGCTGAACAATTTGAAGAACTTGATACCGATCAAAATGGTCTTATTAACTTCGACGAGTTTATAACTATGTTCACAGACAACACCAATCAATCTGATTTTGGACACTGGAAAACGTTCTTTGACTTGGCAAACAAAGAAGAGAATGGATTTTTGACATTAAATGAATTCGAACGTGTGATGACAAACATTGGCGAACTTAAAGACAATTCTGATAAATCTTTATTTACCGTCTATTTCAATTTAATCGACGATGATAACAATGGAAAAATTGGTATAAAACAATTGGCCAGATTTATGAAATGTATAAATACAGAATTGACTGAAGAAGAATTGAAAAAGGCTTTAACAGAGATGGACGGTGATGTTGATGGAAAAGTAAATTTAGAAGAAATGCTCAAGTTTTTGACTGAGTAACGATCAAAGAAAATAATTAATTTACATTTGAATTATTTAATTAAACAAGACATATTATTCAAATAAATATTAAATACATTATTTTTAAAAATATTTATTTTTTTTGCAAATATTGTTGACCAATTATGCATTATTTATAAAAAACATTTTTTAGTATATTGAAGGATATGTATATAACTTTATATTAATTAAATTCATAAATTATATATTGATTTGTTAATTATAATTGATAAAAAAAATAAATGAATAATATATTTGATACTAATATAATTTATCTAATTTATATAACATTTATATCCAATCAAATTTAAAAATTTAATTGACATTCTAAATATCCGACAATTTAAAACACACAACCATAACCCAACATATTTATGTCTTATTTAAATAAGTCGTACATGTGTTTATTTGTTTTTTATTTTTATAATTAAAACTCAAAACATTTCTACTACAGTTAATGAAAAAAGTGGGATGCTGAGAAAAAAAGGGATGCTCATCTAAATATTAATTAATTTAATATTATTAATAATAAATAATTAATATAAATTTATTTCTGTTTTTCGTTTTATTAATTTTTTGATTAATAATTTATATTAAAATTAATAGTAATTTTATTAATTTTCAATTGAAATTAAACAATAGTTATGAGCATCCTCCTTTTTCGAGCATCCCCATATTTCCTCCTACTGTATTATAAATAATTAATTTTTAGAATATTTTAAACATTGCTATCATGTGACAAAAGTGTTTTTTCTTTGTTGTTTGCCACGTCACCAAAGTGGGCTTGAATTTATGTTCACTCAGTTCTTTTAGATCTAGCGGCGAGCTTAAAGCCGACTTTTGTATAAGAAAAACTTTGAAACAGATAGTTTTTTTATCAATACTTGGCAAATTATGGGAAAACAAGCCAATTCAATTCTTAAATATCGGTTTTATTT